TATGGCATCCCCATGCGAACATCGAGGCGTCCGTCGTGATCGTGACAGCTGGGGGTTCTGGGTGGAATGGAATGCCTCTGCAGACATGCTGGCAATTCATCCACCAGCTCAGGGAGTCCTTTACCGACTTTGGTATCAGCAAGCGCTTCGCAGCACTGTCCCGCATGGGATTGAAGTGGTCCAGAAACCATCTCTGGAGGGGACGGAAGCGGAGTCTCGCCAATGGTGTCACCATCACCGTGGAGGCCATATGCCCGAGGAGGACCTGAATCTGCTTCGCCGGGACCACTCGGGCTCGACGCACTTTGAGTGCTTCGGCTCGAAGAGCCCTGAATCTCTCTTCTGGAAGGAAAACTGACTGAGAGAGAGAATCGAACATGGTGCCGATGAACTTTATGTAAGTGGTGGGCTCGAGATGAGATTTCTCCTCGTTTAGCTGGAGGCCCAGGTCTTCGAGGAGGGAAAGCGTCCTTGCCACCTGCGTTCGCAGGAGGTCCGGGGAGCGTGCTGCCAACAACCAGTCGTCTAGGTATGGGAAAATGCGGATTTTTTCCCTTCTGAGGGCTGCTGCGACCACCGACATGCATTTGGTGAAAGTTCTCGATGCCTTCACGAGCCCGAACGGGAGCACGTTGAAGGCATACGTCTGTCCCACTACCCTGAAGGCCAGGAAGCGTCTGTGATGTTTTCTGACTGAGAGATGGAAGTAAGCGTCCCGGAGATCGACGGACGCGAAGAAGTCTCCGTATCTGAGGAGAGGAAGAATGGACGATACCGTCACCATCCGGAACTTTTGGGGTTCGATGAAGGAGTTTAAGTCTCTGAGATCGAGGATTGGACGGAGGGAGCCATCCGGCTTCGGGACAGTAAAGTACCTGGAGAAGAAGGCTCGATGGTTTTGAGAGTCCGGAAGAGGGGAAATTGCCCCTTTCAGAAGCAAGGTCTCGACCTCTGTCAGAATTGCCGAGGATGGTTCGGTATCAACAATCTGCCCTGTTGGTGGGAGCTCTTCGAACTCCAATGCATAGCCTTCGTCGACAATCTTTAAAACCCATGCATCTGAGGAGATATTTTCCCATGCAGGGAGAAAGTTTGTCAGGCGATCCCCGAATGGTGTCGATCAGGATGGAAGGATGAGGGCGGGTACCATTGGGAGGGACATGGGAACAACATCTGTAACGAAAGAGCAAACGGTATCGTCCATTAGGGCGTCAAATGCGGCGCCTGGCCTGATTGCCTCCAGAAGCTTGACGGGACCACGAACGCTGCTGCTGGTGCTGCCTCCTTTGCTGTTGGGGTTGTTGAGGGTGGGTTTGTTGGGAGGTATGCAGGGGACGGGCTGGTTGGCGGTACTGTATGGTGCGGTACGGGACCGTGTGTCGGCGTTTGTACTGGAACCATCTGGTCCTCTGCGCCTGGTTCTGATTCTCGAACCCACACTTAGAAGCCAAGGTCTTGAAGTCGTGATTTGACTTCAGTTTGTCGTCCGTTCCTGCATTGAATAGCCCCAGGGCATCGAACGGAAGGTCTTCGATCACCTGCCTCGACGATGTAGAGAGGCCAGAGGATCTAAGCCAGGCATGCCTCCTGATTGCCACGGCGTGAGCAATCATCTTGCCCGCAGTGTCCCTCGTGTGTTTGGCCATCTGCATCTGATGATGTGCCAGAGAGTTCGCCTCTTGAGCCAGGGTGGAGAGGGCAGTGCGATCCTCGTCAGACATTCTCTGGAACAATTATAATAATAATAAGTTTATTTTTGTACCCCACCTCCATCTCCCCAAAAGGACTCAGGGTGGCTTACATATCATGCAGGCCAGCAGGAGGGCACCGGAGTAAAGCTTCCTGCCCACTGCGTCAAACCTCTTCCCTTCACGGTCGGACGGCGCCGACGATTGTCTTCCGAACCCCTGAGCCGCCTTCACGACCACCGAGTTAGGGTCGGGATGGTGTTTCAGCCACTCCAAGCCCTCATCGTCCGTTCTGTACCATGATTCAATTTTCTTAGAGGTTGGAGGGATGGAGGAAGGGGTCTTCCAGGAGCCCTGGATCACTTCAAGGAGGTAGGGAAGGAAGGGTAGAAGAGGAGCGGGTGGGGACTCCACTTGCACCCTTTTAAACACCGGGTCTTGCACTGCTTTGGAAGTCTGCTTGACCTCCAGGCCTAGGGCATCAGCCATGCGAGCCATTTGATCCGCAAAGGCTCGGACATTGTCAGTGGGAGATGGAGGATCAGCCTCATAGGCGTCGTGAGTGGGTGATCTCTCGATCCCGAGAGATAACACAGATCCCGAGTGTACCGATCCCGGTAACTCGCCATCTTCCTCTTCGTCATCGGCAGCCACGGATTGGGGAGGAGGGGATGAGGAGACATCCCGACTCGGGCGCTGCGGTGGAGCCACTGGGGGAGCTTTTGAGGCTGAAGCCTGAATGGCACGGGCCAGTCTCATAGTCTGCCTGCCCCTTTCCGGAGTCTCCAGCACTGGAGAAGTCTCCTGTCTTGCCATCACAGTTGTCAAGGTCGTGACCGACGGGAAAAGCTCCTGTCTGGCTGTCACATGTCGAGCTGGTGCCTCGATCACCGTGTCCACCGAGATCACCGGGGACTCGGGTTGCTCCGAAGGCTGTTCCGGCAGAAGTTGCGGCTCCTGAGCAGGCTGTGGGGCCAGCTGGGGTTCAGCAGGCTGCAACGGCGATGACCTCGCCGACGAGGTGGCCGAGGAGGCGGTGGTTTGCTTTCGGGAAGAAGAAGAAGACGAGGATGGAGGCGGCATCGTCTTCTTCTTCTTTGCCGGCGGCTGAGCTGTCTTCGACACAGACTTGCCCGGGGTGGGCGGGACGGAGGATGAGGTGGAAGCACGCCGAGACTCTTCCTGAGACCGGCGAAAAGCAATGCGAACCGCCGTGGAAGATGGCGGAGTCGCCGATGTCGACCTCGTGGACCTGATCGATCTCACCGACGCCACTGAGCTGGTCGAAGAGTGCCGGATGCGTACGGTCTCGGTCGTGACCGTGCATGGAGCTTTTTGCTTTGTAGGCTTTGTAGCCTTGGAAGCTGTCGACACCGAGGCCTTAGACGTTGTCGACATTGCTGTTCTCGGCCTTTTCTGCGCAGCTTTCTTCGCCCTTGTCTGGCGAGGCTCAGCCTCCGCCGAGGGATCGACAGATTTTGATGTCGATGCTTCCTTCGACGTCGAAGCTGATGTCGAAGGCCTGGATACCGCGGCTGACGTCGACGCCGATGTCGATGTTGAAGGTACCGGAGCCAACGTCTGCTGGTACAGGAGGTATCGAAGTCGATGGACCCGGTTCTTACGGGACTGTGCCGTCAACGATTGACAATGACGACACGAAGAAGTAATGTGTGCCTCTCCGAGACACAAAAGGCAAAGAGCGTGCTTGTCCGAATCAGGGATCTTCCTCGGACAATTCGCGCATCTTTTGAAGCGAGTTGTTGACATAATACTGTTGAACAACTCGAAGAAACTCTATCAAGAATCACTATCCAACAATATCTCTATCCAACAATAGAAGTACCGAAGCGAGCCGTGCGGCGGAAAAAAAGGAATTGGATCGGTGTGCGCGGGGCGCCCTTTTATCCCCTGCCGGGGCTGGGCGGGGTTACCGCCAAAACTTGAAAAGTTTTAAAATGTAGAAGTTTCCGTTGGAGCCCGCGCAGGCGCAGTCTCTCCACAAGTGTGCATTTGCAGAGACCACGAAGAAAAAATAATTTTCCTTCCATTTGTTGGAATAGAAAATTCCTCACATTTCTCACTTCTATCTGGCCAGGATGAGTCTGGTAATAGCAACATTGGGCACTCAAAACATCATTCCTCAAATTACTTAAGAGTTTGGTTCTTCACTTACGTGTTAGTAAAAGAGATGTTGGATCTATTCTCAGATTTGTACATTCAGGTACCTCCAGGCCATCCATTTCTTCTTGATCATAAATATTTTGCCTCAAAATATTCATCACAAACTTTTGGCTCATTCTGTACTTCATAAACTCTTCAGTCTCATCTTGTGGCACTGAAAACCACAAGTGATAGAATGCTGTATTGTTTCCATCACTGAAAAAAGGAATGAGAAATGTGTTGGATGTAATACCAATGAGGAGTTCCTTTCCCCTGCTACTTCATATGTTTTAGATGTACCATTAAGAATTGTAAATGTACATCTTTTAAAAAACTGCAGAACTGATGTATGTGATTTCACTTATGACTTCATCACATGGAGCATTTTCCCCATCGTAGGGCACTTCATCTCAATTTTAAGGATGAAGAGGCACGAAGCCCAACAGATGATGTTTGCCTACTTCCGGTCGTCATCTGTTGCCATTCATTCTAGAAATTGAGATTAAGCATGCTGAAAAGGGAGAGCTCAGAACATAGGTGAGCAATTATGTTCTGAGCTCCTGGTGCACATCAAAACCATTGCTAATGCCAAAAATCACACGTGGTAGGATCTGACATATTTGCCCATGTTAAATCATTTCAGTGACATGGAGAAATGGGCATTCCTTGCCACTTTGCTGTCACTGCATTTTCTCCTTAATCTAGGTTCAAAATTGTGCTCTTTTTAGCTTTTTAACATAACACTGGTCTAAAGGAGGGAAAGAAAGCCTAGCAGGAGGGGATCAAGGCAAAGTGGTTTATAATAATTACACTGTTCCAATGAAGGGGAGAACAGGCTTGGAAAATAGGATTGTTACAAAGGGATTATAATTACACTGGTTCCTCTCTGCTTGCCTTCAACCCTCATTCCCTTCCTTCCTTCCCCTCTTTTTTCTTTTCCCTCTCATTCTTCTTCCTCCCTTCCCTTCTGGGAAGATGTGAACACAACGATGGACAGGATATAGGGATTTTAGCTATGAAGATCCCCACCGCTATCACCAATTGCTAGGAGGTGCTTGTGTGTTGCTGAGGTTGGCAACGGCAGACCCTAATAATGGAGGTATTTTACCTCAGGCACTTTTTAATCTCACCGCTGCCACCAATTGTACAGATGTGGATGTTATGGAGGGAATTTACCTCAGGCCTCAATTGTGTAGAAGAGTATATTATGGAGGAAGCCAATTATTATTTGTAAATTAAGGTAACTGCCACCAACGTGAGGTATTTGAGGTACCACCGATGAGATCTGGCTCTATAGATGCAGATTAGTTGAGATGAGATGGTTTTCAACAAAAGATAACAAGTTTATTGTGTACAAAGCTTATGGTTGCAGGCTGTTAAATAACTTATGGAACTTTGAATATCACGTGGTTTATAATACAGTCCACTCTTCCAGATAACACAGCTTGTGGCTAACTTTCACTGAGGTGAAGCTCTCTAGTGAACAATGTTTCACTACTATAAATAGCCTTTCAATTTGATCTTCCCTCGATCAAATCTCTGATCTCTAGTCCTTCCTTAACTAGGGATCTTAACTAGGCTTCCTTTAGTCTTCTTTGACTAAAGAATCTGGCCAGGTTTCTTTCTTCAGCCCTCCTAGACTGAAAAACACCAGCCGCTCCCACAAGCCTCTCTCTCTCAGGCATTTTCAAGCCTCCCTCTCTCAGGCCTTTTTAAGCCTCTCTCTGCTGTTTTTGTTTAAAAGGCACATAACTTTTCCTGCTTGGCTCCGACCACTTCTCCCTCTCATGAGCTAGCCAGCCTCGTCTCCTTGGCAACGCTTACTGTGGATTCAAACCAGATGACTCCAGTTTTAGCTACTGTTACAAACACAAATACATACTCTAACAGTTAAACACAAACATAATAACAATGACTTCTGCACAACTTCCCTCTCACTTTCTCTCTTTTTCCCTCACTGTCTTCCTCCTTCATTCTCCTTCTTTCCTCCTTCCTTCTTTCTCTCTCTTTTTGAAAAAATAAAATACAGAGAGGGAGGAGAAAATGATTTTCTGTGTGATGGTTCAAACATGGGAAATAATGTGGGGAAAACTGAAGAGGGAAAATATGTCATAGAAAGACAGAACTTGAAATGGGATGATTGGGGATTGAAAGGTATGATTCCCTTCACTAGACAGACTGCCCCCCCCCCATGCTTCTCATGGACTATGTGATGAGGTCCTTATTCATAATTTTAGTTATGACTTATTTAGTTAGGGTCTTCTGCTCAAGCTGCATATGTCATGGTAACTCCATTATTTGTCCCATTCGAAAATAATGGAGTTCTCCATTATCCATGGTTCACATATCCGCATGAAGTCCAGGATTGTATCCCTCATGGATACAGGGAATGTGGTCTTTGCGTTATTTTTGAAACTATCAGTTATTTTGTGGAGGTGTATATCTGTGTATGTGCTGATTTTAAAAGATGTGCACTCATTTTGTTGCAGAGATAGCTCACACAATTTACAGAAACTTTGACAGAGGCAAGATAGCAATCCTTGCTTTGTCTAGAGGTAAGCAATCTCTGAAAAATTTACAAGGTATTGAAACCACATAAACCACATAAACCAAGGAGAATGAGGAAACTAGCAAGTATTTACCTCTACCAGGCAGCGTTTCATCAAGAAAGAATGATACTTCATGCTTATGCAAATACTCTTTTGCTATCAGCTAATTTTTTTTAAAAAGTGGAATATTTTACTGTCTATGAGCAGGATATTAAAGGGGCATTAATGACCGTACATTGGAAGAACTGTTGTAATAATTCACTGAGATTCTGGACACAATTTTTCAATGCGCAAATCAATTTGGAAAAGGTTAAAAGGGACATCAGAAACTTATTTAAAAGAAATTGACTAAATGTGGTTGATCCAGGAAAACTAAGGACTGTATATCACCAGTTGTATTATAGTAGGCAACAGTGACAACTTTACATAAAACAATCACATCAGTCATAGATTGTCTACCCTACCTTTTCTTGTTACAAAACCATTTCTTATAGCCATGAACATGTGTGGTATGTGTTGATAGTCATGGGTCCAATATGCTAAGAGACAGGAAGAAGAGATAGCAGGACTGGATCTCTCTCTACAAACCTGTCAGATAACTATGATCATCTGTACCACCCGTTCAAGTGTGTTTGGCATGAACAAAGGAGAGGGCTTTTGCAATGGCTGCTCCCAGAGTGTAGAACTCCCTCCCAAGAGAGACCAGGATAATCCCATCCCAGAGAAGCACAGAAAGAGGGGAGGATGAGGAGTGCACTGCTGGGGAGATTGTGGGTGGGACTTTGGATGGAATAGTGAGTTTTAAATGTGATTTTATTTGTATTAATTGTATTTTAATTTTATCTTTATATCCACACACAAATATTTATTTGGTTTTAAAAATGTATTTGTTTTAAACTGTTATTACATTGTATGGTTGTTAGCTGCTTTGAGCCCCTACTGAGAGAAAGATGAGATATAAATAAATATATGGTGATTAGTAGTAGTAGCAGTAGTAGTAATGTATTTTTTGTTTTGCTTTCTCCATACCGTGTTTGAGGAACTTTGACAAGTGGCTCAGAGTGATGTCTGTAAATAGGCTATCATATGGATGGTAGTGGAGACGGGAAATGTTTTTAGCACATTGGTGTACAGCTCAACACTCCTTTTGGTGAAGGGTAGAGGCTTGGAATAGTCACTATACGGATTCTGGGACCTGGAGGATGGGGAAGTAGGGATGGAAAAGGCATCTACCTTTGAGCCTGACCTGCGAGTTTTTGCTCTCGCTAATTAGGTTCTAAGACTTGGATGGGAATGGCCTAGGTTTACCTTCCAGTAAATGTACAGCCAGGTAGCAACACACCATTGGGTTGCTGAGGAGCTAGTCTAGAGCAGACTCCTGACCTCAGCTGGAGATAGATAGATAGATAGATAGATAGATAGATAGACAGACATATTCTGTCCAACCTTGCTCTCTTCCTCCAGATGTCTCACCTTGCTCCCCAGCTATATAACCCCACCTCCTTTTTTCAAGGGCATATATTTAATCAAATTCAATTGTTCAGAATTATCCAGTGAAAGTTTTGGAGCTTCCACTTTCTTACCTGATGGAAATTACTTCAGCAGAAATAAAATACCGCCCAAGAGCAGGTGAATCTCTGTAGATATCTGTAAGCTTGAGAAATAGTTTGTTCATTAGGGGCAGATATTGTATAACATGAAAAGATTTAAAAGTAATTTAATTATTTTGAGTGGGATGGCAGGATCAAATCCAAGCAGCCTCACTGCAAAATAGATCAATGGGTTTTTTTTATGATGACTTTTAAATGACTGATATCTTATTTCAAATTAGTAGCAATTCACACATATACCACAAACATATGGAGCGCATTATTAAGTTATCAGCACAACCGCCGACTCCAACACAACTAACTAATGGTGCATTTCATTCTGATCTAGGCTCTAGTAAAGAAAGTTTCCAAGAACAAATTAAAATGCATTATGAGCCCATTGTATCTTCCAGTTATTTTAAACAAGATACTTTATTTTATTGACAGATGTAATGCATTTTGTTATGATTTGTTAACCAATTTGGATTACATCGTTTAAGCCAAAAGATACACACACACACACACACACACACACACATTTTAAAATATACAGGTATGTATTTTATTTGGACACTTACCCTCTTATGGAGATTTTCAGAAAGTAAATTATATGTTGATTCTGAAAGCAGTGGCTCAGGATTTTCACAATGAACTTTTAATATTCCTGAGAAGTTGTGATGATTACCATTTGCTATTGATTCAGAATCCCAGTATTCATCTTCATCAATGTAACCCACTATAATTTTTTGAGGAAAGATTTTAAAGAAAAATAAATCTAAAGTTAATTTTCATCTGTAATTATTCTTAAGCTTCCAAATACCTGATGAACTGTCACACACCAGAGGATAATTAGACATTTGGGATCAGGGTAGCATCTTCTCCCATCCCCACCCCGGCCCAGGGGCCAGCAGGTCTCTTCTTTTCACCTTCCTAAGGCCTATTGGGCTCATCCCTATACTGAAAAGTGAAAGAGAAAGGAAGAGTGAAAGAGAACTCCAGCTTTCCCATCAGTGTCTCCCTCCCTATTGTCACTCTCCCTTGCCTTTGTCATCCCAACACTCCTCATCTTGGCCATTTGTTTTCCAGTTTCTCCAAGAACTTCTAAAGAAAAAAGCAAGAAAATACTCCTATAACTATGGCACATTGGGTAAACAAGTCCCTGCAACCCCAGCCAGATGTCCCTACTCACACTCTGGCTCTCTGGCACCTTTCTTCCCTTCATCCACTTGCTTTTGGCAACAACCCTCAAGCAAAGCACAGCCAAGTTTCCATGAAGCCATGCTCAGCTTTGGAATTGGGGTGTTCGGGTACTTGTTTCACTGTTCTACTTTTGCTGTGCAAGTGTGTGTCTGTGTGTCCTTATCCTTATGTTCCCCATATGGCAAGAGGCAGGTGGGCTGGCTGCTATAACCAGTGGTGGCAGAAGCAGGAGTTCTAAAGCAGGGAAAGCTGCTTCTGCTGCCATATTTATGAATGAGGGAGTGTTATTATGCAGCCTTCAGGAACCCCTCTCCCACATACATCACATCAGCATACAGGGCAGAGGAATGGAAAACAAGCTTGAGTCATATCTCATACATGCATATTTTTATGGTTCTGCAAGCAAAGTTACAACTCCTCGCGACTCTTGACATTACTACTCACACATGCACAGCAATGGAGTTACATCAGAGAGGGCTTTGGTGACAAGAACATGCAGATGGAGGGATGCGAGAGGATAAGAACCAGTCAACTCAGCTTCTCTTTAGTCATACAAGCACCTCTGCTTCTATTAGAGAAGGAGCCTGGTGATAACCAGACCTAGGTATCTGTCTGCCATGGCAGTGGGAAGGTGACATGGGCCTAATCCACCAAATGTAGGGAAAATGGGATGACAGCAGCAGGCCATGTAAACAGTGGACCAGTTCAGTTTAGAGACAGTCCAGATGTCCCCACATACTCTGTGTAATGTTAACCCATTTTCCCAACATTGTGAACTGTAAGTCTCGAAATGTTGTTTCATATCCAGGAGTGACTTCTGGTCTAATGAAGTGTAGAAAAGCCCATAGATGGACTCTACAGTGAAATGAAGGAAAATTTCTTTTTCTATTAGCAGAGCTTGTGACCGAATGACTAAATACAGTATTACAGTTAAAAATCTCAAAAATATCTTGAAATATAAGAGTCAAGCATACTTTTATAAGGACCACACAAAATGTTATGAAAGCATGTGAGAGCCAGAGCTAAATTGAACCGTGACTAAATTAAGTCCAATTGAAAGCAATGTGACTTCAAGTCACAAGTGATTTAAGCTGTGTTAGAAGTGAGGAACAGTTTCTGACATAGTCCCCACCAATGTTTCCGATATGATCTCATATTGGGGGGAAAAAAACATCACATAAAGATTACATACCTGAATTCAAAGTTACAGCTAAAATAGTCACAACAATCAGCAACAGGAAAATATAAGTTATAATCATCCACAGTTTGCATTTCCAAAATACAGTCTCAGAGCACAACTTCAAGGTGGCTGTTTTCTAGTCAGAAGGGAGAAAAGAAAGAAATCTGTTTGTAATAATGGAACAAACACCATGGAACTGAGGCAATATTCCATTAATTAGTGAATCATGGTTAATGAGTGAATAAGGAAAAACAATTAATTAGTGAATAAGAAAAAACAAAACAAAGAAACATGTGGCTGTAAGAAAGAAAAACAAATAACAGAAGTTCCAATATCAGAAAATGAGGAAGAAGAAAAACAGAATGTATAGTTTATATTTTAACAAACTGTAACAGCAGTAGTTCTTAAACATGCTGAATTACCCATTACACCTTTGGTAAATATTGGAATTGCATAAGTCTGAACAGAGGAAGTCTGTGTCACACACATAGTTTCTTCAACCAACACCCCTTTTCCATGGGCATAGATGATAGCAATAGATTACAAATAGTTTCAGGTGTCCTTTGGAGTCTCATTTCATGTAATACAAGACTATATAAACAAAACCTTAGAAAGATGAATTTATGGTTGGTGATCTATGATATGTATTATTTGACAGGAAGCAGCAAGGAGAGATAAATACAGTTTTCATAACTGATCATTAGTTGTGTGTGTGTGTGTGTGTGTGTGTATTCTCCTCAAAGCAGTTATAAGTAAGATGAAAGTTTAAGTCTAATCCTATATATCAGTGATGGTCTAGTAGAGAAGGGGCTAATTTGGAAAGTAGTGGAGGAGATTTTTTTAAAGTCCCCAATATTTTAAAAATGGGGGAGGGGTATTTAGGAAAGCTGGTGTGGAAAAAATGAGTTGTAGGCTCCTTATAGCCATCACTCCATCCTTCCCCACTTCTGCTATACACACAAATACACTGTGGTGCTTAGGCGTGCGTTTAAGTCAACACACCTCCCCCTAAATCACATGCTTTCCCGGGGGGGGGGTGATATTTAGATGCCCTCCCAGTACCTTCCAGAAGGGCACCCAGACACACATCCCCAAAGGCCTTAAAATTAAACTTACCCCCCCCCCCCAAGGCCTTAAAAATTAAACTTACTCAGCCACCATTTTGGTCCTGCTAGAGTCCTCTCTGTGCATAGAAATGATACGCCGGGGGAGGGAGGGCAGGAGTGATTTTCCTCCTGTCTCCCTCTCCTGGCACATGATTTCTACATGCCAGGAGGGCTCCAGCAGGACCTTAATGGAGGCTAGATAAGTTTTTTTTTAATTTTTAAGGCCTTTCTGGGGTGGGGGTTGTGGGGGTTGATGCCCTTTGGGTTTTCCGGGCTCATACAGCCCAAAAACCCCAAGAAGGCTCTGTGGATTGGACCTGGGGATTCTATGACCCAGTCCCCAGGCCCAATATACACAGGGAGCGTACTCCATTAGACCTGGGTCTTTCAGGAAGACCCAGGTCTAATGGAGTATCAAATTAATTCGAGGCAAAGCAGGGTTTTTCTGCTTTGTCTCAAATTATTTCACTTTTACTGGAGACATTGTTTGGAGCAGTAAAACCATGGGAGCATTATGGGCCCTGACTGGATGGGCCCTAGATCTAATTGTTAGTCCAAAAATAGATTAGATCTACTGAATTAGTGGAGATTAAAGAAGCAACACACATGGGTCTACGAAATGGCTTTAAGCCTTATGTTCTCCGTAAGTGTCATACTCCAATCCTTAATTCTCGATACCATGCTGGCTATAAAAGTACCAAGTGCAAAGCAGGAATGTCATAATTTATAGCTCAGTGACACTAACATAGCTCTTTGTGTACTTGGGAAGGAAAAGAAATGAAATTCAATGGCCAAATTCTACGTTACACAGAATATTATAATGGACATGAATCTGATACCTCAGATTTTGATATGAGAGTTTTGACTATATTAGATTGATTGAAAGAATGTATGAATAATATTATTAAAATATCTGCATAGCACTGCTTTAAATCATAACATTTTAAAATGAGGTAAATTAGAATCACCTCACAACCTCTGAGGATGCCTGCTATAACTGCAGGTGAAACATCAGGAGAGAATGCTTCTAGAACATGGCCATACGGCCTGAAAAACCTACAACAACCCAATTAGCATGATTATCACTATTGACAATGGAAATAGTGAGGTTAAACCATCAGTTGAGTTTCTGGCCAACAGGGAAATCACTGGCTGGGTGAATATTTTAAAAAAAACTTTTTTGGCCAATTACATTGTTCAGAATGTTTGTTGTTTTAAACAAATCAACATGCATAGTGGCCAATTAAGAACATTTGCTTTGGTATAAACGGCAAGCTATATTGGTATCTGAAATTCATATTTAATCAGATAACAGATTTTGGGTTTCTTAAGTAAACTTCATTCACTGCTTCCTTGTATAAAATCAAACTTTTAAAATCTAAACATCTCCAAAGAAGTTGTTTTATTTTAATCAAAATCCAATTATTCATGGTGGGCTGCCAGTGAATTAACACACCCTTAAAGAACAGAAAATTAAAATTTCAACCGCTTACCTTAGTAGGTGTAAATGTTTCAGGCTGAATAAGCTCATTTGATTCAGGCACGTCATTTCCGCACCTCTCTACACTTACAATTTGTAAAGGAATATGTTCTTCATCTTCTTGTTGGGGAACATGTCCATTCATTGCTCCTAGTTCTCCGTACAGCAGTCCACATCCCAGGACATGTCAAAGTGAAAAACTAAATTCCTTTTGCATTTTTTAGCTCCGCTAATATTGCTGATAATAGGATGTAGTTCAAAATGAATTCAGGGATTTCCCCCCATGAATTGGGATGGTCAAATCAATGCCATGAAATACAGACCTCACAGGTGCTCTTCAGTACGTAATGTTGGGAAGTGCCAAGTTCTCTGAAACCAGGAAACATTAAGATCTCCTTTAAAAGTTGTGCTGGGCTGGTCTGGATTTTCCAGTTTGCTTACTTTACTTCGTCTGCCCTCTACAGACATCAGCAGGTAATTTAACCTGAGGCAACCAAGCCCTTCCTGGAGAAATACACACAAGTTCCTTCCTTTTTTTAGGCTGAAATAAAAGCCTCTACCAGGTATAAGGTAGAGGCTTTTATGTCATAAGAAACAGGCACATTTGGAACAAACTAAAACCATGTGCCTTTTGTTTAACAACAACTAAATTCCAGACCAAAAGGACACAAAGGGAATCCTGTCATTGCCATAATTAATTTCGTTAAAATACTTTGAAAAGGATATTTGGAACAATAGCGTGTCATGTCTAGCTGAAAAAATAATAAATTTATCAATGTCCTTGAAGTCTTCAAAGGGAGAGTACAGAAAGAGAGAAACTACTGAATTGCAATGCACTAGACAGTTCCAGAGGTTTAAATAGAAAGAATGAATTCTTATCATGTTGTATGTTTTGACTAACCTATCTAGCTCCCAGACATTTTGTGAATGGCTAATAATGTCATTGTCATTTTCAATACTCCCTCATTTATTTTTCCTGTTATCACATTGGGGTTTTTTTTAATATGCTTGGAAGGATGGTCCTTGATACAGCAACATAAATATTTTAGAATAAACAAAGACACAAAATACTACCAGAAAGCTATATTTTGGGGAGGGAAAGGAAATGAGACAGTAAAGAGGAAGGAAGTGATGTCATCCTGAAAGTATAATTTTATGTGTAGATGAGACAAGTCAGACACAATAAAGGGGGGGGGGTATTTGAGTGACTCTAATTATCTGTTTCTATTACTATTGCAGGTTCAAAGTTCTTAGTGCAAGATTGTCCCCTTCCAACCTATCTACAGTCTTACTCACAATACTGTGTAAGTAGTTTTCTGAAATATAAGATAACATGCCACATATCTGATAACATTGTTGGAGGATATAAAGTTCCTAAGTTCCTCCCAAATGTTATCTTTGGGAGAGGGTTTTCCCTTGGCTCCACCATCTTTGCAGGTAGTTTTGGTGAGAGCCTTATCAACAGCTGCCCCCAGACTATGGAATACTCTCCCATGAGAGACACATCAGCCTCTCTGCTCTCCTTTCACCTGCAAGTAAATCCCTTTCTTTCTTTCTTTCTTTCTTTCTTTCTTTCTTTCTTTCTTTCTTTCTTTCTTTCTTTTTTTAAAACAAGCATTTAGTGATTTACTTCTTTTAATGCCTTCCCTTGCTCCTTCAACCATTTTGTTCACAGAGTAGGCACATGTCATCAGCCTTTTCCAATCGGATTGATCACAACATCTATAATGTGAACTGAAGTTTTATTGCTGCTTGTTCAATGTTTGCCACTTCGTTACTTTTGCTGGAAACTGCACTGAGTCTCCCTGGGGAGAAAGGGTGGGTTATAAATAAATTATTATTATTATTATTATTATTATTATTATTATTATTATTCAAAATGAAGACACATTGAATTCCATAAGCCTTCTGGCCCGGTAAGTGTCTATAGGATTGTAATTTTAATCTGCTTTTGATAATATAGGTTGAACATCCCTCATCAAGAATTCCAAAATCCAAAATACTCCGAAATCCCAAATTGTCCACATGGGTGGCTGAATGGTGACACTATTGCTTTATGATGGTTCAGTGTATGCAGACTTCATATAGTACACAAAATATTATATATAAAATTATCTTCATAAGGTGTATATGAAACATTAGTGAATTTTGTGTTTAGTCTGGGCCTCATCGCTAAGATATTTAATTATGTATATGCAAGTATTACAAAAACCAAAGAAAATCTGAAATACAGAGCACTACTGGATATGAGATATGCAGCCTGGGTTTAGTAACTAAATGCAATTTACTGCATTTAACTATCATCAAAAGTGGAACGTCACTCCATGCATTCTTAAAATATATTTGCATATATTTTAAGAAAAATCTCAGGCTTTGCCACAGAAAAATAAGTCATATAAATACACCCATATCAGCTTGCTTTGGTAATGAAACTCATTTCTCAAAATGGTGTGATCCATGAGGGCAGGAGTGGGCTATTTATGGCTTTCCAGTGGGTTATAAATAAATTATTATTTCCTATCATTCTATCCATCATAGCTAATGTGATGGATTATGGTATATGTCATCTCAAAACTATAAGTAGGCTATAAGTTACCCACCCCTGCATTTACACAGTTAATACAATTCAGCATTCTGTCTTGTGTTCCTATTTAATTAACTTTAGACACATAGAATGATTTTCATTTTAACGAATGTTGAAAAATGTCGTGCTGATAGCTGTAATGCTGAAAATGGTAAAGAATGGCACCTTACCTTTAATTCAGTCTGCTCTACACTGAAGTAGCCATCAATCCCGGAAGATAATTTCAATGCACGTCTGAAACTCCTACCTGTCCTATTGAATAGTCCATTCTGTGTTTTAATAGCATTCAAGCCCACTCATTTTCTTGTTGATCGGAAAACTGAAAATGAAGCTCAATTATTAACTAAATTCCTGGTGGAGTTTGCTATTTTACTCTTTTGCATATCAAGAGGTCCATAGTTCAATCTCAAAGTCAAACCTTTCTTTTGCAGAGCTATTTTGCCCTTCTCCTACACTTTTCACACTTTCTTTAAAACACTTATTGTTGAGATGCTGAAAAAAATATTATTTTGGACTTCCCACATCCTGAGCAGCAGGAAGTTTCAGGGACAGATTGGTTGGGTTGGTTTGTTACTAGAAATTGGACATTCTGGATAGTGAAAACTTCCGTTCACTGAAAATACTAAGGCAACTTCCAATTTCCTATTGAAATAAGCTAATCAGTTAGAAAAAAAATCAGCCTATTTCTCTTTCACTGACTACATTACCAACAGATCGGTAGACTTTGCACTCTTTGGGGCATATTCACTGTTCATCAGTATCCAATAATTTAGCTGTCAAATTTATACTAAAGCATTCCTGTAGACAAATCTCATGTAACTTGATAGACATGGAGCTCAACAAACGTAACAAAAAACAATTAGAGGTACAGGAGGTACATGGACACTTATGTGTGTATTTTTACACTCCTGCAATATTCATTATTATATCAAGAATACTACATGAGCAGCAGAGATCTACAAATTATGTCTTTTATATTCAGAAATATAAAATAAAATATTCAGGTTGCAATTCTACTCAATTTTATCCATACTGCAGAACTGTAGCAATTTGGCACCAACTTACAACCATGACTCAATACTATGAAATACTACGATTTGTAAATTTGTGAGATATTTGCCTTTCTGTCAGAGAAATCTGGTGCCACAACAAACTACATATCCCATTATTCCATGAGATGGACCCATGACAATTCAGCTCAATAACATTTCTTTTTCCCATGCTGGACATTCCATACACACACACACACACACACACCACTTGCCTCACCTCCAACAGACCTCTGAAGATGCTGGCCACAGATGCAGGAAAAGCATCAGGAGAGAATGCTACCAAAACATGGCTATACATGGGGGTTTTGAAATATTTATATTTGCATATGCATACATTGTGAGCCCCCAATGGTGCAACATTAAATTACTGAGCTGCTGAACTTGCTGACTGAAAGGTTGGCGGTTTGAATCCAGGGAACGTAGTGGGTTCCTGCTGTTAGTCCCAGATTCTGCCAACCTAGCAGTTCCAGGACATGTAAATGTGAGTAGATCAATAGGTACCGCTTCTGCGGGAAGGTAACAGAGCTCCATGCCATCATGCTGGCCACATGACCTTGGAGGTGTTTATGGACAACGCTAGTTCTTTGGCTTAGAAGTGGAGATGAGCACCACCCACCATAGTCAGACACAACTAGATTTAATGTAGAAGGGAAACATTTATCTTTACCTTACATTGTGTAATATTTTGGAAATGGGGCTCAAATCTAAACATGTAAGCCATTTCTTTCATAGACTACTTATAGACATGGCCTGAAAATAATTTTATACAATACTTTTAAAAAAATGTGCATGAAACAAAATGTATGTACATTGAACCATCTGAAATCAAAGGGGTCACTATCTCAACTGCCCATATGGACAATTAGCCTTAGCTCTGAATATCCTGAAAGTCTGAATAAGGGATATTCAACCTATATAAGGTTCTGAACATAAGAAATACAGCAGAATATGAATGCTGATATTTCAGGGAGTTTGTGGCACAACTTCCTGATGAGTAATCTTTGTGGTTTTCATTTGGCATGTAAAGTTTCAGTTACTACGTATCTATACAACTCACTCTATATTGACATTCCCACGTGGTATAGAGTGGGTGGATGATTAAGTCTGTTTGAGAAAAGCAAGCTGTCAGTCAATTCAGTCATACAGACATTCTGTCAGAAAAAAGTAAATGAAACTTCAAACAATGTTCAGCTTCCTATTCCGAAAAGTAAAGTATGCTTTATTTTCAAAATATGTGTAATATCCAAAGGATTGTATAAATCTAAAAAAAAATGGACACATTTGATATGGAGGGAATCCACTTTACAGGAAATAATTAAAAGTGAGATCAAAACTGATGCAAAGTAGGTGAAGCATCAAAATAGTTTCAATAGATACTGATCAAAGGTGCTACAACAGAGGGTTTTACAATACAATTGTTTTCTCATAGACAAATTACAGAACAGTTTAAGATGGATTAAAACTTATTTGGGGTTGTTTTGGATAATCCAGAATTTGAAACTGTACTATTCTCTGGAGATGACCATTTGATTGCTAAATTGTACAAACTGTATTTAAAATATGAAATGGAGGAGAATCAAGTGAAGGATTGTATAGTTAAATGGGCACAAAATATTGGTAACCAAATACAGATGGAACAATGTGAAAAGATCTAGACAAAAAGTTTGAAATTCACATTGAGTAATGACTTGAAAAAACATATGTTATACTGTGATGTACAGATGATATTTGTCACCAGAGAGGCTTTGAATGATTTATAATGGCAGTTCTAGGATATGTTGGAAATATGAGAAAAATGTGGGGACATTTTAGCATAAGTGGTGGTCTTATAAAAAGGCTGAGACATATTGGGCTCAAATACATTTGTTGGTAGAAGAAATTGTTATGATGAAATTCATTATGAAACCAGAGTTTTACTTATTGGAGATTCTAGATCAGTGTTTCTCAACCTGGGGGGTCGGGACCCCTGGGGGTCGTGAGGGGTGTCAGAGGGGTCACCAAAGACCATCAGAAAACACAGTATTTTCTGTTGGTCATGGGAGTTTGTGTGCCAAGTTTGGTTCAATTCCATTCCTTGGTGGAGTTCAGAATGCTCTTTGATTGTAGGTGAACTATAAATCCCTAGAAATACAACTCCCAAATGTCAAGGTCTATTTTTCTCAAACTCCACTAGTGTTCATATTTGGGCATATGGAGTATTCGTACCAAGTGTGGTCCAGATCCATCATTGTTTGAGTCCACAGTGCTCTCTGGATGTAGGTGAACTACAACTCTGAAAACTCAAGGTCAGTGCCCACCAAACTCTTCTAGTATTTTCTGTTTGTCATGGAGTTCTGTGTGCTAAAATTGTTTCAATTACATCACTGGTGGAGTTCAGGATGCTCTTTGATTGTAGGTGAACTATAAATCTCAGCCACTACAACTCCCAAATGACAAAATCAATACCTCCAGCCCAATCCCACCAGTATTCAGATTTGGGCATATCGAGTATTTGTGTCAAATTTGGTCCAGTGAATGAAAATACATCCTGTAGATCAGATATTTGCATTACAATTCATAACAGTAGCAAAATTACAGTTATAAAGTAGCAACAAAAATAATTTTATGGTTGGGGGTGACCACAACATGAGAAACTGTATTAAGGGGTCACGGCATTCGGAAGGTTGAGAAACACTGTGCGAGATGATCAACTTGATAGAAAATGTGGAAGACTATATTATATATGATCATGGCAACGAGAATAATCTACATTCAGAGATGGAAAGACTCAGCTATCCTGACACAAGAAGACTGGCTCAAGAAGATTTGTGAAATGCACAATCAATTTTAAGAAAGGCTGGGACTTATTTATTACTTTTTGACATCCTAGATGGAGACAAATGTTTGTTATTGGATTTCAGAATTAGAAGAGTGCCAACATAAAGGGGAAGGGTAAAATTAGTGATATTTTATGGCCATAGAAAATTAAGAAGATTAAACCACAGTCAAAGTGTGCAGCTCGTAGGCTCTCCTTTTACCCCTGTTGTTATCACAGGCTCATCTTGTGAGAACAAGGGAGAGAGCCTTGTCCTCTGTGGCCCCCCAACTCTGGAACACATTGCCCAGTGAGATTAGGCAAGCCCACACCTTATCAACACCACCTGTGTGTGGTGTTGGAGGAAAGTGCTGAGAGTGCTTTGGACAGCAAGAAGACCAACCAGTCCATACTTCAAGAAATAAAGCCTAACTGCTCATTGGAGAGAAGAAAAGTAGAGGCAAAGATGAAGTACTTTGGCCACATCATGAGAAGAAAGGAAAGCCTAGAGAAGACAATTATGCTGGGGAAAGTGGAAGGCAAAAGGAAGAGGGGCCGACCAAGGGCAAGATGGATGGATGGCATCCTTGAAGTGACTGGACTGACCTTGAAGGAGCTGGGGTGGTGACGGCCGACAGGGAGCTCTGGCGTGGGCTGGTCCATGAGGTCACGAAGAGTCGGAGACGACTGAACGAATGAACAACACACCTTATCAACTTTCAAGGAGGATCTCAAAACCTGGCTTTTCTGTTGCACTTTTGGAGAGTCACTATACAACTATACTTTGCTGCTCACCCTCAATGTTTGGCCCTATAGTACACTTTCCCCTGCCTGTTTGAAGGCCTGTTTTATGACCTCATTTTTTATGAGCCTCTCCCTCAAAAATAATCTGCTCCTCTTTTATCTCACCCTGAGTTTTAGCATTTCATCTTGTACATGCGACCCACTCATTGTCATTGTTTTTCATTGTATTTTATAGTGTTTGTGTATTCTTATGTTTTATTAATCTTATTGTGTTGTCTGTTTTTACTTTGGTTTTTATTTTATTGTAATGCATTGTTGGGCTTAGCTTCATGTAAGCCGCTCTGAGTCCCCATTGGGGAGATGGTGGCAGGGTATAAATAAAGATGATGATGATGATGATGATGATGATGATGATGATTATTATTATTATTATTATTATTAATGGTATAAGTTTAATGGATTGGGATAACAGTAGTGAGAATCAGTTTCAGATTGTGCTTTGTTAGCTGTGGTAGTATGCTTAAATTAACAGAAACAATCTTTATTGTTCTGTTTTCATGGATGGGGAAAAAGTTCTTTACATTTGTGCATTTTGTATTGTAGTTTTACTTTTGTTTGTAGATTTGACTGTTTCTGGAATGAATATTTATTTTTGAAAGGATGCTATGTCATTTTCACCTGTCTTCTGACAGAGCACCCATACATAAGCAAAAATGTCTGCTTTAATCCATATCAGGAGGTTTGCCAATGCAAAGTTTGTGGGACTTTCCTGCTTAAGTTAGACATTGTGTATGTGAACACCCACGCACCCACAAATTCTCTTTTAACTATCTTTATCATATTATAAAACATAATCATATAATTATAAAATTATATCAAATTTCCTTTATCATAAGTGAGGCACTCCTATAAGAAAGTACATGGCATTCTGGTTTGGGGTTCAACCTATTGTCAGTTTGCATGCTGACGAATCCAGTCATACAGCGCTGTGACCTTGGTGTAAACTCCCGGACGATTCCTTCGAGCACATCCTTCGCCCCAGCTGACAATCCCTGTCAGGTACCACCTGTTTCCCTTTCCAAAACAGGCTAATGGACCTCCCGAGTCACCCTAAATGAAAGGACAGAAGTGTCACCATTAGAAGAAAGAAAATGTTGCTCCATTACTTGCAATTAAGTTACAATTAATTACAACTTAATGGTAATTACTTGTAATTAAATGACAATTAATTACAAATTAATTTGTAATTTTCATAGCACATTGTGACATGATGTCTCACTTTCAAATTTGTAATATTCTACACAAAATCACAGAAAATCTCTAAATCCTCATGGGCAAGCAGATGAATTGAGTATAACCACAGTGCATATTGGGTTAGCAGGAAGTTAGACAAAACTAGCTACTTATTTGTGCTTGGTTATAAGTGGAAAGAGAGACCGTGTTGTGTAGTTGGTTTAAGAGTTGGACTAAAGTTGTGGAAACCTGAGTCCAAATCCCTGTTCAGCAATTAAACCTACTCAACATGAAGCCCACTGGATAACCTTAGGAGCCTCCAGTGGCGTGATGGGTTAAACCCTTATGCCAGCAGGACTGCTGACCAAAAGATTGGTGGTTCGAATCCAAGGAGCGGGGTGAGCTCCCATCTGTCAGCTCCAACTTCTCATGCGGGGACATGTAAGAAGCCTCCCAGATGGTAAAACATCTGGATGTCTCCTGGGCAATGTCCTTGCAGATGGCCAATTCTCTTACATCAGAAGCGACTCTAGTTTCTCAAGTTGCTCCTGATGCCAACCCCCCCCCCCCTTAGGCAAATCTCAGTCTCAGGGGAAGCCAATGACAAATGTCTTCTGAACAAATCTCGCCAAGAAAACCCTGCAATGGATTTGCCTTAGGATCATTATAGGTCAGAAACAATTTGAAACCACAAAATAATAGCAAAAATGACATTCACCATAGGTTATTGGGTGCTGTTTTAAATTTAAATCATTGTTTTATATGCTGGTGGTTTGATTTTTTATTGTATTGTGTGGTTATGTTATGCATTATTCCAGGCACATTGTGCAATATGTAAGCCACCCTGAGTCCTTTTGGGGAGATGGAGGTGGGGTACAAAAATAAACTTATTATTATTATAACATGATGTTTGGCTTTCTATCTATGATTAGTTTCTATCTATGATTAGTTTGGTCCTAGTTGACAACATGCCCATTTGGTCACTACAATCTGGCAATGCAAACTATGTGGAAATCCAATAGAAAAAGTTATATATACAGAAATCACATATACGGGAAGCAAATATACATATAGAAACCTGTTTCCACATGCAGGTGAGCCCCAATGTATTTAGGAATATATGTCAGCCTATACCTCCTATTCCAAAATATTGGCACACTGTTGGCTCATTATGCAAGAAGTTGGACTTTTTCCAGGGTTGTATATTGATGGTAAGGGACGATAAGCGAACTCTTGCAGCTGTAATCAGACAGTAGCCATGATCTCACATTGCATCAACACAGTGTAACAAACAGCTAGCAGATTTAGTTACACTAGTATGCAAATTCTATACCAAAAACTAATATAGTGCTATGTAAGTGGATCAATGCTCAACATGCCTAGCTTAACAATCGATTGTGTAGTTGTAAGGGTCAGGGCACAAAGGCAATACATAGAAGTAATGCATATTAACACACAATCCTATGCAGTGAAAGTGCTACTACATGCATCTCAGTTCCATGTGCTTTCCTTTGCTTACACCAACACCAACTGGATATGACATTATTTATTTATTTATTTTATTTACTTTGCTTGTATACCGCAGTTTCTCAGCCCGTAGGCGACTCAACGCGGTTCACAACAAGAGCAAAAAAGTCAATCGTACAACATACAATATTTAAAACCATTAACAGCATAATATACAAAATAATGACACATCAATAACAACACATTAACGTCTCGTAACTAAAATCGTGATCCAATTTGTCATCAATTGTTAAACACCTACTGTGCATGCATAGCTCAACTTAAACTTGCACATGTCTCTGATAGAATGCCAGGCTATTTTTCTAATTGCTTTCTTTTATCATGGTTATTGTATTTGCAAATTTCCTTTCACCCACCCTCTATTGCCAATGCTTATGCTGGCATAGTTATACCAAATACAGTGCAAAATAAGGCTGGATTTAGACTGCATTATATGGTCAGTGCATTATATTGTCCAGCCTAAAATTCTGGACTACAGTCCACAGTTTAACTGCAAAATTAAAGTTGACTAAGTTTTATAAATATACTGGTATAAACATATTCAGATTGTAACTAGGCATGAGAAATAAATTAACGGATCCTGCAATATATTGCGAAAAATATTCACCTCCTCTCTTCACTTTTCTGAGTCTGATGACAAGACAAACCAAACTTTGCCCCAGAAAGCCATTGATTTCTGCAGCTTGTTATGAGTTTTGGTAAAGAACCATTCATGCATTTGAAATCTGAGCACAACTATAGTCTTTGTCTGTACATTGCTGGAAAATGCCTTATACACATCTCTTTTTTTTAAGAAAGAAACTTCACCAAAAGTAACACGTTACTTTACAGAATGTTATTTTCACCTTTACCTGACATGCATCAATGCCACCATTAAGGTTCCCAGCACACAGCATCCGAGAAGTAATCAGATCGTCATAAAGCTTGCTACAAACACTTTGGTTAATTATTTTCACTTTGGCCTCTTGTAATGTTTTTGCAAGCTGACCTGGATCAATAGAAGCATTGCAGAAACATTAAATGGATCAAGGTTTTTTTTAGATTGTAAACAATGAGACTGAAAATGGAAAACTATTTTGAACTGTTCTCATCCTTTGAGCTTTAAAGTATTTATATACTCATGTTCTACAAATAGTATTCACATGACATAATAAATCATAAATATTAAATATAAATATAACTTCACATTCTTTAAATATGAGACACGTTGCCTTCTCAATGAATTATGAAATTGATCAGCCTCTAAGAATGCATTGAAATTAATGTCACCATATATGTATTTAGAATAGCCATAACAAACAACGAATTAGCCCATACCTTATTCTGCAAAAGTGTATTGTGTTTGCCAGATCTTTTTGAAAAGAAAGATTTCAAAGCAAACCCTTACAGCAGCCTATGGCTATAATTCACAAAAATCATACAGTATATTAGGGATATTTGCAATTTGCAATAAACATATCCAGAAATGAACATACTATTTTCTTTTATGGCTCCCCAGCCAGTTACATAGCAGACAGTTCCATAAATAAATACTCTAGGAGTGCTTGGTAAACATATGGGCTGTACCAGCTCAGTGAAGAATACTGGTGCCTCCAGTTCCAATAGGGCAATATCATAGTCTGAGATATATTGGTCATAATGCGGATGGACAATAATCCTTTTGACTGCTCTCATCGCTACATAATCATTGCTGTTTTTGTTAATGGTCTTTATACCCATATATGCTGTCCAGCCAGATGCTATCGAGTATCTGAAAAAAAAGGGAAATAAAATTGTCTTTGAGCACTGCTCTTATATAGGCCCCATTATTTGTAAGAACTGTGGATCCCAGGAATAGTATGCAGTCTGTTTTCAATAAGGTGTGATAGAATCTGAGATCAATAATGCCACTTTTATCTGGAGACTGCAACCTAAGCCCTGCCACATGCACGATGCAGGACCTTCTTGCGGCAACCCCAGAGGCACTCCAAGTGGCCAGATACTGGTCAAAGGACATTTAACCAAATACCAAATTTGCAAAATCTGTGTGGGTTTTTTTTCTTTCTTTCTATCGTTCTTTTTTTCTTTTTAATCTCTGCGTTTGTTTTGCTCTGTTAGAATTGTAATACAATGGTTGCTGATGACACGATAAATAAATAAATATCTGGAGACATATAGCAGCAGCAGTTGATTATACATCAAAATATTGACCAATATTCTATAACAACTTCTTAGTTAACTATAAGAACACTAAGCAAAAGTATACATATATTTCCAGGAGATATGTCCAGGACCTTGTGTTGATCCATGGAACCACAAATAATAGGGTTTACTATTGAATGAATGACCACTGTTGGAAGCATACAATTGAGTAATACTGGGAGCTCTAGAAAACGCCTGGAGAGACATAGGTAAGTAAAACCGCCTACATGGATTCCATGGTTACGGTTCTTACGGGTTCAAAAAAGTGTGGTCTAATTTGTACACTGAAAGATGTCACTTTATATTAACCAGTTTTTAAGAACCAGTGCCCAAGCCTTGCAGAACTTCCCAACCCTATGGTTCTATGATTTTATCCAAGGAGAAAGCTACCTCTTTAATCCACTTTAGATTCTGTGACTGCCTCCTGCAGCATTCTGGAGTTTGGATTGTTGTAAGTTTTTGGGGCTGTATATCCATGTTCTAGAAGCATTGTCTCCTGGCATTTCGCCTGCATCTATGGCAGGCGAGATGTCAGGAGAGAATGCTTCTAGAACATGGCCATACAGCCCGAAAAATCTACAACAACCCAATGATTCTGGCCACAAAAGCCTTCGATGATACATTCTGGAGTTTGTTCTTTGTTGTTTGGGGGGGCAGAGCTTCCCTGGATGAGCAGCTTAAAGATCCCTCCCTAAACTACAAACTCCAGAATTCTGCAGGAGGCAGTCACAATATTTAGAGTGGATTAAAGTGGAAAAATCCTCAAGTGTGATGAGACCCCTAGTCCCACCACCATCACAGATCTCTCTGGTGAGGACACATGGGAGGACCATCTCAGTAGCTGCTTGCAGACAGTACAGCTCCCATCTATGGGATGCTAAATTGATACCTCCTCTGCTTGTTTTTTTTAAAACAGGAAATCCATTAATTGGTTGCAGAAGGATATTTTTAATAGCAGAATGTGCTGTACTTTTATCCTTAACATTATGCTTCCAAATGAATTTATATTTTTATTCATGCTATTTTAATATGAAAGCTCGTTTAATTATGTTTTAACTTTTAATCATCAGGTTTTAGCTCTCTTTCATTTTAACTTGTTTTTAAACCACCATGCTGGGAGAAAGTAAAATATAATTAAAATGCATAAACAATTTAATAAAAGATATATCAGTGGCAAGATATGCTTGATCCCCCTTTTGCCTGCAGGCAGTTGCATTTGTTCTCTGATCTATCTAACTGTGAGAAATCCCTGAGCCAAGATTATGGACTAGCTTCAGTGGCAAACTAGTTCTGCTGCAAATAAGGTATGAAGAAAACAATTGCTGTTGTTCCCTAGATTTAAAGAAAATTGGATTTCTAAACCTGGAAGTTCCATTTACCAGATTGACCGATCATCCATGACTTTGGTCAATACCTGTTCGGGTCATCTAAGTATCAAAACTGATCAGTTTTTTATAGGGGAACTGCTAAGATTTTATTGTAGACAGTGTCCACTCAAGGATGCTGGATCAGTTTGGCTCCCTGGCATGCTCTCAATCTATCTAGTATAAAGACAATTCTGCAATCATGTACATCTCATGCCACAGGTAAGTCCTACTGAGTTCAATGAGACTGACTCCCAGTTCAGTGGATGTAGTACATTTCTTTTGCCAAGCATAATAGGTTGAGCATCGCTTATCCTGAATTCTGAAATCCGAACACTCCAATATCTTTGCTTTCTCATGGTTCAATGTATACTAATATGGTTTCATACACAGACTTATTGAAATAGATATGTATGAAACATATCTGAAATAGATATGTATGAAACTTAAATGAATTTTGTATTTACATTTAGGTAAATATATCGCCAAGATATCTCATTCTATATATATGCAAATATTCCAAAACCTGAAAGAATCCAAACTATTTCTGGTTCCATGCTTTTTGGATATTGGATGCGCAACTTGCTTTTACTCCAAGTTGTTCAACTTCATAATGCTATACAAAAACTGGATATAATATCAAACTGATTTCTAAATTGAACATACTAGCTTGCACTGGCTAGTTATCAACAATATTTTTTTATGTTACTTGATGCATACCTTATAGAATCAGAGTCCTGAAAGCAATGGGCAGCAGATACCAACCACCTATTGGAAATAATAGATGCACCACAGATATGGCCATATGTTCCCAGCTGCAAGCTAGCTTGCCAAGGCCACTTTCCAGTTCTTGCATTTTCACCACCAACAATCCTGGGCCTTTTTAGGTGATTCCTTCCACAGGCTACTAAAGAAATAATACACAGAGAGATTAATTATCTAAAATCATGTGGTGGGGGAGAGAAAATATGATATTATTCATAGCAATTCCCCAACTAATTTGGAAACAACAGTTCTGATTAATCATATCATTCCACTTTTTCTGCAACTTTTGAAATGTCCCAGCTATTCCTTCCTTACACTTCCTTCTTTCCTGAGCTTATTTCAGTGGCTGGAAATTGCACTCAATTAAATCAGTAGTAGTAGAAGAGAGGGCAGAATTTTGTCCATTCTGGTAGACTCAGGCAAAAGCAAACTGCTGCAGTCTCTCCCAGGTGTCTGTATATAGGTTAGAATCTCTATTTTCACCCCAAAGCAAAGCACAAAGAGAATCTTCAAGATTGTAATTTTCTTTTTCCCACCACTCTCAGAATCTTCCAATCAGCATGATCATGTATGCTAAGTTTTGGTACATAATATCCAAGCTCTGTTGAGATTCATTAACACTCGAAGAAGAAAAGTCTGTTTGCCTTCTTCCACTAAAAATAGAAAAACCAACAAATTTCTGCCTTTTGTTTCATAGAATGTGCTTTGCGCAAAATTTTGATTTTGAATTATAGTCTTGCTATGGCTGCAGAAACACAGGGACATTTTTTGCTCACTTAGAAATGTGCCCATTAATTACATACCACAGTTCATTTCATCAGATCCATCCGCACAGTCTCGTACACCATCACATTCTGGGCTCGGCTTTATGGGACATTTTCCATTTAGACATTTATATGCATTCTGTGAACAACTTTTATATGCTGAAAGGACACCATAAGAAGTAGAAAAATATTAATGTATTAAATGGTACATTGTAGCTTAATGAATACACGAGATTTTAAAATGATATATTTTAAGGGTACTACTATTTCATACTAGTATTGGCAGTATTTATATGGATGTTGAAAGCAACAGTTTGATACTGGAATAACTGCATACTAGGCTTGTGCATGGATTCACAAGTGAATCCATGCACTTTGGCCAGTCTGGCTTGTTTGGCTTGGCAAGATGGCCATAACAGCAAGGGCCCAGCCATCACTTTTTTTGTCCATTACGGAACCATGTGGCAGTCGATCATGGCTCCTCCTCCCCTATTTAGCATCATGCAGGGGCCTGCTCACACAGTGTTTCTCTGTGAGCACTGCCTATTGGGACAATCAGAATAGAAGAATGCCATGACATGTCTTATGTAAGTTGTGTCTGCCTCCTTGACCCTGTTGCTGAAACCCAGGTTCCCTTGAAGGGAAGAAAGGAAAGGATCCCAGAAAGGGTGCTTTCTTAACCCCATTGCTGAAACCCAGGCTTTCTTGAAGAGAAAAAAAGAAAAGGAGCCCAAGAATGGAGAGGGAAGCCTCATAAGTTCCCCATTGCCACCAATGGGCCAGATCTAGCCCTATTTTTCGGGTGCTGACTGAAAACGCTATCTAGCTACCTATCCATTTTCAGGAGGTGCATGAAAACAGATACCAGAGTCTACAGTGATCCAGCCAGCAAAAACAGATCAAGGTTCAGCTGAAATGCACAAGCCTACTGTTTACTGTAGAAGCATACAGCTACATAAATAGAAACATGCCGCCAAGCACTACGACTCCCTCATTTTTGAAATTCTAGAAGCTTTGTAAATCTTGAAACACTGATGTGCATGAAAGCAGTCAAATCCAGATTATATAACATGAACAAATTGTATGATGTATTTTTAATGTCTGCAAAATGAGCATGAGGCAGTGATGTGACAATCCTAGCATAAAAATCAACAAGATCAGAGTTTGATAAATATATCATTTTCAACTACAGTTCTCAGAATAACAGCTGGAGGATCCTGAGAACTATAGTATTTTTTAAAGAAACATTTCCAAACTCTGATTAAGGTTTATGGATACCAGAAAATAACACAAGAGATCTCAAGGCACCCAATATCTGTCCAAATCTCCAGTCAAAAATTAGTTTACAATAAACTTACAGCAACTATCTTCTTCCTCCTTATCCTCCTTTTTCTCCTCCTCCACACTTCCACTTTCACAACTATTGTCACCATTACAAGACTTGGGTTGGCTTTTACAATTCCCATTGTCACATTTAGCTGGATTGCAACCTAGGGGAAAACTATGCAGTCATGATTTTTGTATTACACGTAGTGTCAAATGTCTTATCCACACTAGATTTTATATCACTCTTATTATCATTATTTCCTTTAAGGAGCACTGGGAATTGTAGTTTGGTGGTATCCTAAAAAGTCTGCTAGAGACCCTGAGTTACAACCAAAGCCACCCACTACAATACCCAGAATTCTCTAAGAAGTGAATATATGGATGTAGTTAAATGTATCATAATAATCCCGTGTGTTCTAGCATACCTTATAATTTCTTGTGTTAGACCAAAAACATTTTACTTTATTGAATGAAGTTTTGCTTGTTTTCTCCAAATAACTTTATATGAGAAGAAAAGTCCAATGTTCATTGACAAGACCAAACATTATAAGCTATATTTTGTTTTATACATGGTTACAGAAACAACCTAATTGAATCAAGATTGTAATGATCCTAGAATGTTACTGTATTGTTATCTCTTAAAGAACAGATCCTCTTCCCAGAATGTGCCTTACTGTGTAGTTTAAATGTCAAAATAATTCATAAACTCACCGCAGTCAACTTCATCACTTCCATCTGTGCAGTCTTTCCACCCATCACACTTACTGTTTAGTGGAATGCATGTTCTGTCTGAGCATTTAAATTGCCTAGGACAAACTAAAAGAGCACAATAATTTAATGACCACAGTCATGCTGATACTGAACAACAGCACCCTCAACAAGACACAGGTTAATGCAGTGAGAAGGGCAATACAACTTTCTGGTAAACAACCAAGTTACACACTCATAAAATTATACTATTTGTAGCTCCAAATCTGTTAACTAAGGCAACTACCTTAATCTGCCTCAAAATAAGATTCAGGAAAATACAGTGTTCCCTCACTTATTGCGGGGGTTCTGTTCCTAGATCAATAGGTACCACTCTGGTGGGAAGGCAATGGTGCTCCATGCAGTCATGCTGGCTACATGACCTTGGAGATGTCTACAGACCACACTGGCTCTTCGGCTTAGAAATGGAGATGAGCACCAACCCCCATAGTTGGACACAATTGGACTTAATGTCAGGGGAAAACGTTTATCTTTACCTTTCTTTCCCTAACCTATCAGGAAATTGTTCTTGTTGCTATTTGTGTTTGTATTCCAATTTTCTCTTAAAATCACAGCTCAAAGCAGCTTACAAATTTTAAAAATGATACATTTAAAATACTGTATACAAAAACATAGCATTATAATAGAATTAAGGTATTTGCTGTAGTAAAAGAATTCAAACCTCTACTGAAAAGAATAAAATTCATTAAAAACAGTTCAGTTTACAACAGATCCTACTCAGTCTATTCTTTAAAAGTGTTATCAAACTATTGTGTAGCATGGAGGCATTCGTAGTTAGAATTCCAGTATGGTTTACATTTCACCTTGTTTTTAATCACAATATCCAAAAGCTATGGAAAGAACAATCAACTAACCACATTAAGATCGGCATTCACTTACAGTCTGTGTGGCTGAATGCTCTGAATTCAATATAAAACCCCTTGTTTGTGACCAATTCATCTGAATGGAAGCTGATTGCGACTGAATAGCCATATTCTTTGACCCTATTACTTTCCATGGTAGGTTTGCAATATCTGATTAGGATGACACACACAAAAACATTACAGACATATCATCATATAATTTCAACAGGGCTAACCATCTGCTACATTTTGCTGCATTTATTAAAAGCAAAACCTTTCCTTCTATGACAACTGCTTCTCATAATTCTATTTCTATTATCACTATTGGAATCCACATATTACAAGTAGGATGCAGGTTAACCAAATGTTGACATATGGGTAGCTTCCTATTCAGGATTCCAGTCAATCTATTCCATCAGTACCATTTTTCCTTCTCATTGCCAGTATCCTTGGATGGTTGAGAACTACAGGCCTATTTGAGATCACTCCACTAGAAGTTTCTTCTCTGAAAAACCTCATTACTCTATCCTAAAAAATCTCTAGCAAGTGCTGTTTCCTCAAAAATATGAAAAAGACAGCTGAAAAATAAATGCTTGACCTAGATAGGTCATTAGGGCATTTCATAGTGTAATACTGAACTTTGGCTTTCAACCAAAGTTTTTTTTTAATGATAACTGCTTATCTAATCAAGACTTGAGGTGTAATGTGCACTGCAAGTGCTAGCATAAGGGACATCATAAATATAACTGGGATATGTGAGAGATAGTATTAGCTTTCTCAAGCAGAGTATACATGAGAATTGTGTTGAAAGCAATGCCTGTCAGATCATAACTCCTTTATTAATATGAAATATGCTCAGATGGATCAGTGGTTCTCAATCTGTGGGTCCCCAGACGTTTTGGTCTTCAACTCCCAGAAATCCTAACAGCTGGTACACTGGCTGGGATTTCTGGGAGCTGTAGGCTAAAACACCAGGGGACCCACAGGTTGAGAACCACTGAGCTAGATACATGTGTAAAGTAACTATCTACAGCATGGTATTATTCAAAATAGTCTGCCACTGGCAATGTATTTGCACCATCTTTGAACCCTATCATCAAATCCTCTTTGGAAAAACTCTTTCAGGCCTGTTTTCCACTTTGCCTATGTTATCAAAGTGCCCTCCTTGAAAACTGGGTTCTGGAATATTTTGGGGAGTGATGCAATGTATCATTCTCTGTTCATTATTGTTGAAGAAATAAAGAAAAAAATTGCTTCCTTGTCATCCCAGGAGACATTCACCATAATCTTCTCTGCTGACCATTGTCTTTTGAATGGCTTTGGTCTGGGGGAAGTGGAGTTCTGCCACTTCATGGACTGCTTCTTGGTGTCTGGGCCATACAGGTATGCCCAGGTGTCATCATCAGTACAAACATTGATCACTCCTGAAAATCTCAGAAGCCATCCATAAGACCTACTGGTTACTATCCAGCTATGAAAAAGCAGATTGCTATTTAAACAGGGGGCAGTGTCAAACAAAAACTGTCCTATGTAAAAGAGAATGTCTGACCATAGCAGATAGCACTCTTTTTTTTAAGTGCATCATGTTTCTTCTTTTCTTTTACTTGGGAAAAACTGGATTCTCTGTCATTCCACAGAGACAAATGAGATGTGATTTTTTTTCTGTAACAGCCTAATTTCTTCATCAAAAGAAAGTACTCATCTAACAAACAATATAATTGTTTTTAACATTTTACTTTCAGTATTCTTCTCTTTAGTTTGTTTTTTTTTTGCTAAGTTTTCAAACTTTTATGAATAAACACACACACAAATTGCAGCATGAGTAGCAGATGTGGATGCAGCTCACCTAACTCTATCAATTTCCAGCCAGTCTTTGTCACATGTTTTGGATCCAGGAGACTGTTCTTGTACTTGTATTACAAGAATTCTTAACAGCAATCTATATCCTGCTAATGGTGCCTAAGAGAAAGAGAAAAGCATAGGAAACAACATTTATTGTCCTGCCTACCCTAAAGTATTGCGTATTAGTACAATGCACCCCTATACTTTGGGCCCTTTTTCAGCCCTATGATTTGACTAACTGCCAAGGCAAAACCCTATGCAATCCTGGAACATGCAATTTAGGAGAATGCTTATAATTCTCTACTAGAGATCTTGAGCGTCTCATCAAACCCAGGATTCCATGAGATATTTCCATGGTGAAATCATAGTGTCAAGTGAAAT